ATAGAATAGAATAGAATAGAATAGAATAGAATAGAATAGAATAGAATTCTTTATTGGCCAAGTGTGATTGGACACACAAGGAATTTGTCTTGGTGTAAATACTCTCAGTATACATAAAGAAAAGATACATTCGTTAAGAATCAAGAATCATAATGTACAACACTTAATGATAGTCATAGGGTACAATCAAATCATAGTAGGAAGCAGTCAATTTAAATCGTAAGGATACAAGCGACAAAGTTACAGTCATAAGTGGGAGGGGATGGGTGATAGGAATGATGAGAAGATTAATAGTAATGCAGACTTTGTAAATAGTTGGACAGTGTTGAGGGAATTATTTGTTTAGCAGAGTGATGGCGTTCGGGAAAAAACTGTCCTTGTGTCTAGTTGTTCTGGTGCGCACTGCTCTGTAGTGTCGTTTTGAGGGAAGGAGTTGAAACAGTTTATGTCCAGGATGTGAGGAGTCTGTAAATACTTTCACAGCCCTTTTTTTGACTCGTGCAGTATACAGGTCCTCGATTGAAGGCAGGTTGGTAGCAATTGTTTTTTTCTGCAGTCCTAATTACTCTCCGAAGTCTGTGTCTGTGTTGTTGGGTTGCAAAACCAAACCAGACAGTTAAAGAGGAGCAGATGAGGGAGCTGGGTGTGTTTAGCTTAACAAAAAAGAAGAGTTGGGGGGGGGGGGGGGGGGCATGATAACTGTCTTCCAGTACTTGAGGGGCTCTCACAGAGAAGTTGACTTATTCTCCAGAGCCCCCGAGGACAAGGAGTAAGAATGTTTTAAAGAGAAATCCAACCTGAAAGTAAAGAGAAATTTCTGGACAGTGAGAACAATTAATCAATAGAACAGCTTGCTTCCCGCAGTTGTGGGTGCTCCATTACTGGAGTTTTCAAAAATAGACCAGACAACCATTTGAATGGTTGAAGCACGGGGTTGGGCTAGAAGACCTCCAAAGTCCCTTCCAGCTCTATGATTCTATGAGTCTAATTCTATGATTCTAGATTGATTCTATGATTGATTTAATTATTGAGTCTATGAGTCTGTGATTGATTCTATGACTCAATGACTGATTTTATGATTGGTTTTATGATTGATTTTGATTGATTCTGAGTATGATTCTATGACTGATTCTATGATTCTATGTGATTCTATGATTCTATGATTTTATGACTGATTCTATGATTGGTTTTATGACTGACTTTGATTCTGAGTCTATGATTCTATGACTGATTCTATGATTCTATGTGATTCTATGACTGATTCTATGACTCAATGATTGATTTTATTTATTTATTTTATTTATTTGATTTGCCAATTGTTTACAAGATAATAAGTATAAATGTATACATAGTTGTGAATACATGAAATGGTTACATATAAGAAAAATAAAAGAAGAATAAGAGAAACAATAGGACAGGGACGGTAGGCACGTTGGTGCGCTTATGCACGCCCCCTACAGACCTCTTAGGAAAGGGGTGAGGTCAATAGTAGACAGTCTAAGGTTAAAGTTTTTGGGGTTTGGGGAAGAAACTACAGAGTCGGGTAGAGTATTCCAGACATTGACCACTCTGTTACTGAAGTCGTATTTCCTGCAATCAAGTTTGGTGCGGTTTACTTTGAGTTTGTATCTATTGTGTGCTCTTGTGTTGTTATGGTTGAAGCTGAAGTATTCATTGACAGGTAGGACATTGCAATGTATGATTTTGTATACCATGCTTAAGTCAGACTTAATAAAATTAAGTCAATAATTTTATTATTGGTTTTATGATTGATTTTGACTGATTCTGAGTCTATGATTCTATGACTGATTCTATGATTCTATGACCGCTTCTATGACTGATTCTATGACTGATTTTATGAGTATGATTCAACGAGTGATTCTATGATTCTGTGACTGATTCTATGATTCCACTGTGACTTTGCCCAAACAAGGGTTGCTGCATGAACATCCTTCCCAACCAATGAGTGATTTCATTCCCCTTCTTAAAAGCTTCTTGCCCTTCCATGTAATGGGAAGCCACACTTGCTTTATGAGCAAAATTGTGATGGATGAGACTGAGCTAGAGCTGAGCTGACCTAAAACCTCCTTGTGTGTTTGCAAACCAGGACAATGGAAAGCGAAGACGGACGGAAAGCCTTCCTTGTGTTTCCGGCCAGTAAGAGCCAGGCCTCGAGTCAGAAAGGGAGGAAGGGAGCGCTGAAAGGCAACGGGAGGAGGATTGACTACCTGCTCTACAGCAAGGAAGGACTCTACCTGGAGTGGAAAACAGTAAGCTGCTTTTAATGACATTTAAAGCTAAAATTTCAGGTCCGCGGTAAGGAAAAGTGCTTCATGATACAAGGCTCTTCCCACCAGGAATACCAAGTAAGAAATTTGCATGCTAAGGGCTCAACAATATAAGTGGAAGGGAGAATCTGATCTTTCCACGCTGTAGATATTGCACGATGTGCCCTGAATTCAAGGAAAGATCTAAATTTAATTATCTGTCAGGCTTTATTTCATCCCCAATGTTCTGGTGCAGATTTTATTTTTTATTTTTTTTAAATTTTATTGTTTTTTAAGACAAACATAGACAAACAAAACATAAAAACATCAAGCCATCTTCCATATAGTGTGTCGGTTGGTTTACAAATCGTTTTGTGCTTCCACTTCGTAGTCTTCAATTACAATTACATTGTATATATTCTCATATTGTCAATCAAATATTAAGTACATTAATATCATTGTTAATCAATCATTTGACTATACTATTATTCATTCATGTTTTACGAGATAATCCATATTTTACTTAATTTGTTTTATGACAGTTCATATTATCATCTCAAATCTATCCTACAATCATTTTGTAGATATAATTAAAAAATACATCTTTATATATTCATTATTTTCTAAAAATCTACATATTTCATTACTATGTTTTATTGTCTAACCATTGATAGAATAGATCCCAAATTTTATAAAATTGTTTATCATCTTGTTCTCTGATTTCAAATGTCAATCTACTCATTTCAGCACGTTCCAATATTTTCTTAATAATTTCCTCCTGCGATGGTATTTTTTCATTTTTCCAGTTTTTGGCAAATACAGTCCTAGCTGCTGTTAATACATTTACAATCAGATATTTCAATTCTTTACTATATATTTCAGGTAAAATTCCCAATAAAAATATCTCTGATTTCAAGTCTATATGCTTTTTTGTCATTTTTTCCAACCATGTGTGGATTTTAGTCCAATATTTTTTGGCATCCGCACAAGTCCACCACATATGGTAATATGAGCCTGATAACATTTCCAACATTTTTCAGATTTGTTCTTGAACATTCTTGCTATTCTTGTTGGGGGAAAATGCCACCTATAAAACATCTTATACAAATGCTGTTGACATTGTCATTTTATAATTTTGAGACCACAATTTTTGCCATTTCTCTAGCTCAATCCCATATCCAAAATTCTTCCCCCAAGCAATCATTGTTTCTTTAACTTGTTCTTCTTCTAGTTTAATTTCTAATAAATATCCATACAATTTTTAATCACCTTTTCATCAGTACCTGTCAAAATCTTATCTAAATCAGTCAGTTTATCATAGAAACCTTCTGTTTTAAAATCTTTATCATACCTTGAATGTATTTGCACATATGAAAACCAATTCATCTTTATATCTTGTTCCTCTAATTTTTGCATAGATTTAAGTTCACCCTTTTCATTCAATATTTCACCATATCTAACTGTTTGTTCCTTTTTATATATTATAGGATAGGAAAATGCTTCAATAGTCGATAGCCAGACTGGAATTTTCAAATAGCATTGCCTTTTAGTCTTCTCCCAGTTTAACCACAGAGACTCCCGTATATAATGTCTTCTAAAATACCCGTGTTGTAATTCCTTTTTACCATAAAAAAGCATGCCACCCCAACAACAGATCATGTCCTTCTAATGTCAACAATCTAGCATTTCTTAATATTCTGGTGCAGATTTTAGCTAAGAACTACCCTATTGAAATCTGTGCAGAAGAGCCCATTTTGAGAAGAGTGATACATTTAAATGCATGTGTGTGTGTATGTATGAGCATGTGTATGTGTGTGAGCATATTGCTATGAAGCAGGTATATACAACATATTCTGAATTCCAGAATCTGGGGACAAATGTGAATGCCAATGGTTTTGGAAGCATCCATGTACTTATGTACAAAGAAAGCTAATTTATGTTATAATTGTTTCATTCTCTTTTTCCTTTCTTCAGACCAGCCCCCTCCACTTCTTCACTAAATTGTTGTGCAGATGAGTTGGGACGTATATTTGGGGTCCTGGGAGGTTTTTTTGCTTAGAAGGCAAATGCAATGTAGGGGCCTAGGCACTCTCTGACTTTGGTGGTTTTCTTGCATGCATTTTATTACCCAACTAGGTAACATCATCAGTGCTAGATGGGAGTCTGGTTTGCTCTCTTTTTATATACAGTAGCTTGCCCTGACAGTGTTGGTGAGAGTGGTGGTTCCTTGAGTAGGGTTTTTATTTCATGTTTGATTGTCTGAGTTTTCTGTTTTGTATTCATTACCTTTTATGATAAAAGAAAATAAATATATTTTTAAAAATGCTTGCATAATAGCAATAGCACTTAGACTTATATACTGCTTTATAGTGCTTTCCAGCCCTCTCAAAGCGGTTTACAGAGTTAGCATATTGCCCCCAACAATCTGGGTCCTCATTGAGCCTGGTGGGATTCGATCTGTCAAATTGCAGTAGGAGTAGCTTGCAGTACTGCACTCTAACCACTGTGCCACTGAGGCTCTTGGTACTTTCTTCTACCCCTGATGATTTATTTATTTATTATTTATTTATTTGATTTGTCAATTGTTTACAAGATAATAAATATAAGTGTATACATAGTTATGAATACATGAAATGGGTACATATAAGAAAAATAAAAGAAAAATAAAAGAAACAATAGGACAGGGATGGTAGGCACATTGGTGCGCTTATGCACGCCCCCTAGAGACCTCTTAGGAAAGGGGTGAGGTCAATAGTAGACAGTCTAAGGTTAAAGTTTTTGGGGTTTGGGGAAGAAACTACAGAGTCGGGTAGAGTATTCCAGACATTGACCACTCTGTTGCTGAAGTTGTATTTCCTGCAATCAAGTTTGGTGCGGTTTACTTTGAGTTTGTATCTATTGTGTGCTCTTGTGTTGTTATGGTTGAAGCTGAAGTATTCATTGACAGGTAGGACATTGCAATGTATGATTTTATATACCATGCTTAAATCAGACCGAAGACGGCATAATTCAAGGTTTTCTAGTTCTAGAATTTCAAGTCTGGTGGCATAAGGTATTCTACAACGAGTAGAGGAGTGGAGAACTCTTCTTGTGAAATATTTCTGGACTTTCTCAATTGTGCTAATATCAGATACGTAATGTGGGTGATGTTACCTAGTTGGGTAACAAAACCTCTGCAAGAAAACCTAGTTCAGAGAGCACAAGCACCCATAGTCCTCCTTTGCTCCTTCTCCTCCTCCTCTTCCCCCAACAAACCCCACTCCCTTCTAGCACTGATATTACTTACTTTGGTAATGAAACATCTGCAAGAAAACAACCAAGCTCAGAGAACCCTTCCCCCCAGTTCAACCCTGAGCTATAAATATTCTAAATCCAATATAATTAAAACCCTTGACAGCTTGCAGCATTATTATTTTTTGTAATCACCTTGTGCCATCAAATAATGACCAAGCTGATTTGTAGAAGGAGACTTCCCTTTCAGCCAGACCTCATTCAGGGGCTTGATAGACTCAACAGAAGGGAGCCTCAGAGCCCCTGAAGATTACTAAGACCTTCGTTTGCTCTTTCTAAAAAAATAAATAAATATATATATATATATATTTCTTTTGTTGTTCCCTTTGCAGGAAGTAGAAGAATTCAGTTTTATTACCCAATTGGCAGGACTCACAGATCACCTGCCTGTTGCCATGCGTCTAGTGGTTTCAACTGGAGAAGAAGATTCTTAAAGAAGGAAGGAAGGAAAAATGTCCTCAAGAGCCTAGCGGAGGGAACTTCCACATTTGTGACCAAGACGCAAGAGTGGTCTTTTTCTGGTGCCCCCATGCCTCTAAACCCCTCAGGACGGACCAGGCTGGTTTCCAATTGATTTTTCTACATTCAAAACCCACTTTGGAGGCTGTTGAAAAGAAACACAGAGGCGTATGTGAACATATGTGGGGAGTTGGATGAGATGAAGGTCAACTCTATTGACAAGTGTCACAAGTTGCCCCAGCAACCAGGCAGGCCTATATTTCTATACTTTCACTGTGGACTTAAAAGAAACCAAGATAGAAGTCCCAATTCCTTTGAATCAGTGCCATTCTTACTCAATCTACGTACACCCACATCCGCACATATGCCCACCCACATATATATCTATATATAGAGATAGAAATATATATAGGTATATACAGATATATAGCACAATTTAGTTTATAATTGGTCTGTGTTTGTGCTGCTCCAGAAGTGAGTTTTTGCTTTATTTCTTTAGATATCCTTAAAATGTTAACTCTTTCTTTCTTTTCTTTTCTTCCTTCCTTCCTGCCTTCCTTTTCTCTTTCTTCTGTCTTTCTTTCCTTCTCTCTTTCTCTTTCTCTCTCTCTCTCTCTCTCTCTCTCTCAATTTTTTTTAGCCTTGTAAAGTTGTAGCAGCATGCTTGGATTGGATGCATGTGTTTACATTGCATGACATCACTTTGAAATGAAGTGGTTGTAAAAGTTGGAGGGTGGATGGGTGGGTGAAATGCTACCCCCCCCAATGGTGACTCAAAATCAAAAGAGGCCAAGGAAAAGCATTTTAGAGAATGAGCCCCTCTTCAGGTTCATTGATGAATACTAAAAGGCAACCAGGTCAGTTCAGTATGGACCGTGGAGGAATGAAAAATGCAGAACTCCAATTCATGTCTTAATGCAGCTCCCACTTTTAAGAAGAAGATAATGCCAACAAGGATCAACTGATTCATGAAACACACTGAAGTGGCGCTGGTTTCTTTGAAGAGTGTTCCCAAAGATTGCAAGAGAGAGAGGATTAGAGAGAGAGACATGAACAAAGATGATCTGATCCAGCTGGTCGTTCTGAACCAATAGACTAAACTTTTGACCTGAGGTCACTCCCATCCCAAAGACCCTTTTAAATTGAGGGGAGCAGCAGATCTGAAACTTCATATATGGAATTCCAGGGGCCATCCCTTGACCAAGAAGCTCCACTGATAATAGGCATTGTCCAACGTTCCTATATCTCAGCTCAAAAACTGAACAGCACTGTCATAAGACAGAGAACCATTGTGTCAGGAGAAAGCTAGCTCAACCTTTCACCCGGACATGTTCATTTTTTAAGCATAGGAAATGGTGAGAAAGAACTGAGATTTAAAAATAATAATAATAATGGCCACCTTCTGTATGATGCAGTATTTCCAGGGTAAACTACAGTGTTAGATTCTGCTAAGCAAATGGATGTGGATTACTACATCCGTAGCACAGGCTCCTATCCAGCTCCTAGTAATGTCAAGAGGAAGGATCTCTGAATAAGATAGAACAGGGTTTCTCAACCTTGGTGACTTGAAGATGTGACTTCAACATTGCTGGCTGGGAAATTCTGGAAATCACAAAGGTTGAGAAACCCTGAGGTAGAATGAGGTTATAAGGCCAACACCATTAAACTGATAAGGTACTGCTACGATCATCTTCTTTTAACTCTTTGCAGGGTGGAATCTGGGGAACTGAATGGAGCTAATAGAGTGTTTTAATGGCCAGATGCCCTTCCTTTCACCAATGCGGAGTTTTGTTCAGCAGATACATTCTCAGAGGGCCCAGAGAGAGAAACATCTGCCTCTATACCTAGAATTGAACTCCTCGCCTCCTGATTGTGAGGCGAGTGTTCCACCTCTAGGCCAACTGCACCACTCTAAGGTACTGCTATGATACAGTAATTAATGGCTCTGATATTTTATCAGTATTATCAGAGCAATAGGAGATCCACTTGAGGAAAGTGACCAAGTGCTATAAAATGGAGCATGGTTTTGATTCCAAGGAGGAGAATCAAAAGTCAAGGCAAACTTCAAAGCAAAGCAGATAGGTTTTCCTGTCGAAACTTCACAAAGTTCTACCTATACTGCAAGACAAGAATAAGGAAAAATGGTTGAGTCAAAAGATTTGACACCTATTTTGGGAGGAAATATAACCGAAGAGCTTTGAGTAAGAAAGCAGATCCCAGAGCAGAAATCCCTGACTACTAGTTAAGTAATTAGTAGTATACCGTAGTAAAGTAGTAGTACAACAGATTCCTGCTGTTACAGGAATCGCTCTCCACTTTGAGTCTGTTTTCCACTGAGCAATGCTAACTTGCACCACATCGTTGTGACATATTCCCATTGGAAAGAGCTCCAGGTAGTCTTTGACTTACAGTGGTTCATTTCGTGACCATTCAGAATGACAAAGGCACTGAAAAAAGTGACTTATGACCGTTTTTCACACAACCGTTGGCAAACTGACTCTGTTATATGACGGTTGCAGCGTCCCAGGATCACATGATCTCCTTTTGCGACCTCCTGATGAGCAAAGTCAACGGGGAAGCCAGGTCCGTTTAACAACCATGTGACCAACTTAACAAAACCGCAGGGATCCATTTAACAAGCCTGGCAAGAAAGTCGTAAAAGGGGACAAAATTCACTTCACGAATGACTCGCTTAGCAAAACAGAAAATTGGGGCTCCATTGTGGTTGTAAGGCAAGGACTACCTGTACCTAACTGGCTGCACTCAGGTTGTACTTGCATGCTAACACTGACATTTTCCCAATGTGTTGGGGTTAATCATGTCCATAAAAAACTTGTCCATTTGGGGGCAGGCTTAGTGTCAATCATAGCAACTATAATTTTATACTTCTAGAAATTGTGAAGTCCTTGGTGCTCTCTGAGCTGGGTTGTTTTTCTTGCAGATGTTTCATTGACCAGCTAGGTAATATCATCAATGTTAATGAGGGTATGGTATGCTGCCTGTTTATATACAGCAGCTTGTCCTGCCAGGGTTGTATTCTGCTTGGTTTTAACAAGGAGAAAGCTACTTGGATTTTCAGGTTTCCTATGTTACAGTTACTCCAACGCTGGCAGGAAACTGTGGGCACTGTGTATACAACACAGAGCACACCCCACAGTCACTAGCACTGATATTCATCTATTGGGCTACAAACTTCATAATTTCTGACCAGGACTACCAATAATCTTGCTCGTTTGGAATTATGGATGATATTAAATAGGGAAACACTGCTCCACCAATTATATATAACATCATGAGCAGCACCAGTACCACAAAGGTGTTACTGCTATTTGCAAGTGGTGACAATCAAAGTTTATGTTATATTCATTTTACTTGCCCAGACCCTATTCAACTGGAAGCTAGCATGCCCCCAATGGGATATCCCATTCAAAAATAGTCATACATCAATAAAGATGCCTTCCTATCAAGAATAACATATATTGGGTGGGTCTAATGCTTGTTACTGATGGCGTGAATGCTTTGTGAGGCTAATGTTCCTATTGGCTAAGAATTCTGGGAGTTATAACCTCATTGCATCTGAAAGATAGTCAGTTGGGGAAGGGCATCTTAAAAGAAATGAATAATCTGCCAGGTAAAAGAATAACAGGTATGAACTAAGAGACCCCTGCAGAATGCAGATTTTAAAATGTGGTGTCCAAAGGTTGGGATTTTGAGCAGTCTTGATAGATCTCTGTGTCCATGGCACTCTATCCATCATTGTGGAAAGCTTTTACAAATGAATGTGACTTCAAAAATGCCTCTCCTTTGAGAGACAGCCAATGCTCATCCCAAAAGTGCATTTTCAAAAGGCAACTGTATGTTTTGCTTTTACATCCAAGAAACTTTTTTGGGGGATGAGAAGCGAAACTTGTTCAAGGAAAGAAAAAAAAGCCCCGTTGCCTTTTAAGAAAGCATCTTTCGGACAGCCATGACCTGGGTCACTGAGAATCTCCATAGTCACAGCCTACACACCTGTGAGAAAACATTTTTGACTTGCTACGCCACACCTCCTTTACTGCATTAGGTAAGAAAGGTCAAATCCAGAAAGATCTAACCTAGACAAACACCAGTATAGTGGTTAAAGCATTTGATTAGAAACTGGGTGACCAGGAGTTCTGGTCCCACCTTAGGCATGAAGACAACTCTCTCTCAACCCTAGGAAGCCCCTCTCTGTCAACCCTAGGAGGGAGACAATGGCAAACCATTTTTGAAATCTTGACAAGAAAACTGCAGGAATTGTCCAGGCAGGTGGCAGGAGTCAACAGTGATTTGAAGGGGCATGCACATGAGCGCGCACACACACACAAACGCACACAACTAGTAGAGAACATCTGAGAAGGGTTGGTTTATCTTCTGGTCAATGGATGTTTTGCAAGTGGGCTTTCCTGCCAGATCATTATGGAAGTATGCATCTTCCATATAGGGTGTCAAAATAGTTGTTGATCCCCAGCAGAGAAGGCAGAAAGTTCTAAGTCAGGGGTCTCCAAACATGGGAATTTTAAGACTGGTGGACTTCAACTCCCACAATCCCCCAGATCCCTGTTCTAAGTGGATATAATATAGGATTCAAGCAAGCTAGAAATGAGGATATATAAGATCCATAAGTGTACTTTTTCCTCATTTCTAGGGACTATGCAAAGAAGAAGAAAAAGTTGCAATTCAAGAGCTGTTCCAACACTGAGAACCTTCTCAGATCTTTATCTTGTCACTCTGACTCACGCGAGGAAATGCAACTCAGGCATCCTCCACTCAGTTTATTGAATAGACGAAAACTGGTTAGAAGCTCATTCAAGCTGTGCTTAGAAAAATCACCCAAATCAAAAGTGACAAGTTTTCTGCAGGTGGCACTCTTCCACTCTGCTAGATGAAAGATTTCAACCAAGAAGCCACCAAGTACATTTTTTAAAAAAAGAATCCTGCATAAATGAGGATCATAAACACAAAAA